CTTAAAGGCTTACATCAACCTTCCTCGCTGAGCTAGCAAGTTTGCTCATGGAAATGCATGCATTGTTCGCACGAACGGGCATGTCAGAATAAAACACACCGTCCATTCAACATGGCGAATAAGTGCAAATCTCGGGCAATTGATACTCCAAATATCTTAACTAACTGAGGCACATTTCTTCGTAAAATGACTGTTTGTGCAGGCACTATGAGTCGCCCTCTGCTTGAAATCGGTTCGTTGAATGCGAAGATATATGCCTGATTGTGTTGTCGAACGAATGTGGCCCGGAATGACGCAAAACGAAATAAATGTTTGTTTGAAATAATTTAATCAGGAAAGATCAGCAGCATGAAAACCGTGTGTATAGATACATGTTTGACTGGGAGATTGCCGTTAGTCTAACGGCTGTCGAGGGTGATTTCAAAGTAAATACACTCAACGTTTCTGTACGAAAAGATTAAACACCTGGTTCAATTGACACCCTCAGCACAGTTCCAAAGGTTTCATTATGTGCACGCACATGAACTAACGCTTGAAGTGAAATGCTTCAGACAGTTGAGAGTTCAACTAACTTGGACCAATTCACTAACGATGTAGAACGGAGAAGCTGAAACTTTCCTCACACCACATTCCAACTGAGATCAATTGAATCACGTTGACTCACGTTTTTCACATTGATGAACGCGCCACCGTCCATCGTTGCTTCGATGCGAGCCGTAAACGCATTCATCTTTAATTCTGCGAAGTTCAAGCGAACGTAATGCACCTCGTGCATTGAGCCGAACAATGTAGTTATGTAATGCTCGCAGTATGGCTCTGTCTCGGCTCCGGCGTTGATGGGACAGACCACTATAGGCGTGTTCGTCTTTGGACAGGCTGCACTGTAGATCCTGACAGAGCAATCATTCTCATTCGCCGAATTGGTTGCTATCAGTTTTACATCGGTACCTGGGTCATAATAGGGGATCATCCTTAAATATCAAAAGAACCATTTCTCAGGTGGGTGCATATTATTTTAAATCATATCGTGCACCTTCATCTCATTGCTAAGTGTGAGAATTATTTTGAATCTCATTAAGGGAAACGGAGGCACAAATATGCGAAACAACACTCCGAACGACGGACAGGCTTGTCAGGGATGGATATTAGTCATGCAGCTTTATGCCAATTTATCACTGAACACGAGCGTGCTTAAACGGAGAATATCAGCTGTTACTCGTTAACATGCCAGTGAGCGCCAGGGATGAGACTGCAGTCTGAATGACTCTCTTATTCACCCGCTAACTGCGATCTTACGAGAGATCAAGCGGCCATAACTACCCACATAATGCCAATTGGTATAACGCAACTTAGCGTGTGGTGTCCTGCTAAATAATTGTTATTTCGTGTGGAAGATGAGCAGCTGAATGGTGCATGTGTTTATACTTTATCTGATAGAATTTATTGGAGTGAACTG